TATATATATATATGTATATAAAATGTTAAAATATATGATACATCTAAGAGATGTAAAAAAAATCTTAACACAAAGTGTTAATGTGTTTTAAATGTAATTGGGAAAACTACATTAATACTCATCTGATTGATATAAAATGTTAATAGTTTTGAAAAATCGACGATTTTCAATCATATATGTTAGCAAATTTAGTTACATTTAATGTATTAACTTATAAATTAATTATAACTGCAACATAAACTGTATATTGATATCAAAATTCGGATGCTGAGGAAATATAATAATACGAAGACATCAGCAACAATATTTCCAGTATGAGCATTGCAGAATAATGAAATAAATTGGTGCACAGTGGGATAGATTGTCGATCGAGAAATTTACCCTCGAAAACGAATTTTATCGTTTTTATCGCAAGTATCAATAATTATTTTATACAAGTAATTATAAAAACAGTTTTTTATAGTTTTATATTCACAAATCTTCATATTGTTTTATGATTATTCTTTTCGTAATATATGATTTCGTTTAAATAACATTTTATAATAATAATAATAATAATAATATTAATAATAATAATATTAATAATAATAATAATAATAATAATATACTTTGAAAAATTTATTAAAATCTTTATTGTACAGTGCAAGGAGAATTAAAATAATTCAATGGTAGTTGTTTATTAAGCTTTTCATTACATATACATAGATATACATATACATATACAGCAGATGACATCAAAAAATTACATGTATTTCTTGACTATTTAAACATCAATGAAGTTCTGATAATTAAAACTATCTCATAGAATTTTTTATCTTTGTCACAGTAAAACTAAGAAAATGTCATTTATGATGCATTGAGAATATTTTTTTCTTTTCTTCTCGTAATACATTTTACTCGTTAATAAATTCATCCTATTTTTTTTTAAATGAGGTCACACATTGTATCTTTGTTTCTATATTTCATTAGATTTGTTTAATTTTGTGTAAAGCAAACTAATTATTTTTTGCTTTATTTTTCTTAGTTTTATTGCAACAATTTTTAACGATATATCTTTTAATAATATTATGTAAACAATGCGAAGGTTTTTGTTTTCAATATAGTAAACAACTTTATTGAAATCAGGTTTATTAATTTGGTTGCAACAAATACGTTTTCAACTTTATGCAAATCTATTTTTTGAGTTTATGATAATATGGCACATTTTAATAGTTCCATTATGTGATTAAAAACGAACTTTAAAATATTTAAAGAAAACAAAAATAACTAAAAAGTATAATTTCATATTATTTTTCTAAATTATTTCGAATATTAAATATTTTAATCTGAACCTTAGAATATTACTGAAAATTTCTTATTCCTCAAAATTATTTAGCAATATTTAAAATAATATTACAAAACAATAAAAATATATTGTATTTATATAATAAACTATTTTGAAATTAAATTTCATTTAATTAATATTAACTATCATAATATATTTCTATAAAAGAGAAATTATATCTAATAAATTTAAAGTATAATTAATTGTATATTTCATATTGCACTCTTTTATTCGGAAGTTTATAAATGTAAATCAATTTCTTTAGTAACTTCCATTAAAATAGACTTTTCATAAGAGTATATATCACATTTATTATAAAGATAGGAATAAATAATTATATAAAGAAAATTACAATATGTTTCACAATATCAGAATGTTAACCCACTTGAATATTTTTGAAATATTTATTTTTAACTTTTTGAAGAAAATTTTCCTGAAATCAACACTAAAAAGATATGTATTTGAAATAAATTTATGATAAATAACACTGTGACTATTTAAGACCACTTTTTTGGTTAATATATGTGTTTTAATAAAAGCTTTGATGAAAGAAAGGTAACAAGAAATTATTGAAGATATTAACTAGATGTTACTATGCAAGAATTATTGCTTATTAGAAAAAGATTTGATTTTTAAATTATAAAATTGTTTAATAATTAAAACAATTAAAAATTTATTCGAGGTAGTAACGTTGAATGATTTGTTTTCTATTATGTTTGTATATCATTAACTTAAAAATTTTAAATAATTAAAAAATGTTCAAGTATTCGGATATTATTAATCCTCGAAATTCTTTCGAAATTAACTAAAAATTATTTTTATTAAAATAATTCATAATATATTGTTTTATTTAACATTATTCTTCTTAATTGCTTTGGTAAACATCATTTAAGATTTAATTTCTTTTGTTCTATCTTTACTACTTTTTACTTTTAATATAACTTTTTAGAGTTGATATTTATAAACTCTATATATATATATAAATTAAATTAAATTACATATCAATTCTAAATTATATATTAAACAAATATAAGTAAATTGAAAAAAATAAATGAATACATTAGAAAATAATTATTATTAACTATAATTAATAATATTCATTTGATAACAATTTGTACAAGACTATGTGGGAAAGCACATTTTCATTCTTAATATTAATTATGATTTAATTCATTGAATTAATTTATAATTGTACCCAAAAAATTAATCGAATATTTGAAGTAATAAATGCATTATTATCAAATAATGTTATAGCATGTTAAATTGAATGAATGACTAGTATGTTTAAGAAATTATGATTCACATATAATTAGTATTGCTAATAAACTTGTAATTATTTATCTTTGATTCCTTTTTATATATCTATAAAGAAATTACGTCGTGTTTTAATAATAAGAAATAAAAAATACATTTAAATTTATTTTAATAGCTTTAAATTAAAATTATAGCTATACTTTATTACAAGCAAATGAGTGCAAATGTAATTAACATATTTTCATGTAAAAATGATATAAGCCTTTTTGAAAAAATAAATAATTGCATGTACAAACTTATAGTTGACTCATCTTATATTATTTTTTATATTTTTATAAAATCAAATACTAATTTGGGAATGTAATGAATTTTAGTACTTACTGTATAAAAGAAAGAAACTTTGTAATTAAACATTTTAATTAAAAACTAATAATAACAATTCATTGAATACTTATTCAGGAATGCAATATTTCTATTTGAAATGTAAATTACATAAAAGGAATGTAAATAAAAAAAATTTTGTTCATACAATGCATTAATCTTCTTGATACCTGAGGATCTTGGTAACAGTACGAGTTAAAGGAAAGCTTTCATTGAATTTACATGTATTATTCCAATCATCAACATTTAAAGATAATATCATTGCACCTCCAAAATTATTTGCACGAATCCATTTAGCCTAAAACATAGTACATAATAACTTATTACAATGTTTTTGATCTTTGCATAAATCTAATTTTATAAAAATATTTTTAAAATTTTACTAATTTTATAAAAATTTGCAACATATATTAATTACAGAAATATTAAAATTTAATTTATGAAAGCAAAAATATGTAAATACCTTATAATAAACACTTGTAATATCATCATAAGAAATCCATTCTTTGTCTTTGTAAGCATACGGAACTTTGCTTTTGTGTTCAAAAACAGTTTTTGCACCATGTTGAAGGAATTTACAAATTATTGGATAAGAAACAAAACCCATGAAACCTAATTTTCCAAAACCATTTGCTGGTGCGAATATATCGTGATTTTGCGAATTATCTAGTTTGTAAGTGTGGCCATAAGTAGGAATCCCAACAATTATCTTTTCTCTTGGCATTCCCTTTAAAAGCCAGTAATGAGCCGAAAAATTAACATTTAAAGTAGAAAGATAGCCAGATTCAGTAATATGTGAGAAAAGTGGTGCATTGAGCCCAGTAATTGGATAGTACCATACATAAAAATGGTAGTCATATGACATTAAATTCACAAAATCCACATACCTAAACAATACAAAATTGTGTATAAATATTTATAGAAACATAGTATTTTTTAATAGTAATTTAAAATAGTAAATATTTTATTGTTAGTAAAAAAATTTAAAATATTTTTTGAGTTAAAATGACTTAATTATTAAAATATTTTGATATTTATAACAACAATTAATTAAGTATTCGTTATTATTAGACTATTATAATTATCTAATGTTGTAGAAAATACTTTATGTATCATTTATTTACTTTGCCATTTCTAAAACTATGTAGCTTTGATCAACAATGGCTTGTGGGGCAGCTACTGCAACAGAAAGAATCAATGTTTCTTTAGCGCGATAAAATTCTCTCCGCAATTCCTCTAATAATTGTAAGAAACGAATTTTTTCTCGTTCATCAGCACCAAGCCATGCAGGAAATTCCCAATCTAAGTCTAGTCCATCAAAACCAAATGTCTTTGTCACATTTAAAACCGATTTTATAAATCTATGAAAAAGGATTTAGTATTTTCAATACATTTTATATACAAACACTTAAAATAAAAAATAATGGAAATTACCTTTTTCTATTTGCATGATTTTTTACCATTTCTGAGAAACCTAAATGGAGCTCATTACTTCCACCAACACTGATCATGACCCTTAATTCAGGTTGCAGCTTTTTCAAGGCAATAACTTCCTTGTAAACAGATGAATTGCTACCCAAATCGAGACTACAATTCACCACGCCCGCAAAACCCATGATAATATGCGTACAAAGATTAGGGTCAATGTGCGACGGACTGAGCTCCCAGAGCGTGTTCAGGTCGCCCGGTATGGTGTAATAACAGACAATGATCTGCCTATGAAAAAGAAAAACATTTTTTTTTATACCTTCACTGTTATCTTTTAATATTTAAAATTACCAACAATAATGATAATAGTTATCAACTTTTTCTTGAAGAATACATTATAAAACAAATTATTAGTAAGTAATTACCCTGAGGAATTGGTGTAGAACTGCTGCGGCGCACCGATGCTGTTGTTCCGGTCCGCATTCTGGTTCTCCTTCGTCGACTCGGCGTACATCCAAGCCCTACGTAACCACGTAGCAGTCTTGGCATCGTTAAGTAGTCTTATTGTATCAAATTTAGGAACAGTAATGACAAGATATACTATCCACGAACGTATTACAAAAAGACCTCCAATTGCAAAAAATACTAATACCAAGCACAGAACTCGTGTTATCCAACAAGGTCTAAAAACATAATCAAAGTTCATATAAACTTTTAGATCTGAATTACTGATATGATTATACTTCATATGATATAAAAATATATGTAATAAATTTAATTAAGTTTTATTTTAGCTTGAAAAATATATAATTTTTTATAATTGAAGTTATATAAAACATGAATATGCACTTTATTTTATGTACATTTATACTTAGTTTAATCTATGAAAGCGTTTTGTATCACAGTATATATAGAATAATCAATAACCACACCTGTAACTTTTGACATATACTTATATGTTCATAGATATAACTTAATACACAAAAAGAAAGATATAAAAATGGGTATTACAAATTTAATACTCATATACTACATGATAATTAATAGTATTGATATAAAACCAAGTACAATTACAGCATTTAACAATAATAAGCAAGATTTATATTTAACTATAAGTATACTATTAATATATGATGTAACATATGTTTTTGTTTTAAGATAAAAGAATAGAAATAATAAATGATATAAATGACAGTTGTGAAGAAATACATTTACTAGTTATTTGGGTAGAATATATTACAATAACTTTTGAAAATTATATATTGATAACTATTATATATTGCCTAAGAGATAAAAAATTTATTAATGTAAACTTTATTATTCTGTATATATTATTATCGACTATAGGTATATGTTTTAGGTATTTATCTATATTTATTTAATTTATTTTTTTGGTATATACATATACTCCTTCGAGTAATATTATAAATGATGACAGTCTATAATATAATAAAGTAGATTCTAACTGTGCATTTGAAAAATATGATTAATAATAAAAAAAAGTAATAATTATATTTAAAACGATTCATTTCTGATACCTATGTAATAATAAGATACAAAATTTTAATACCAATTTATAAATGTAAATCTTTTATCGATAAATTATCGATTAGATTTATTATATGATATGTAAATAAAAATCAAGTTATTTCTATAGAATCATATTAAATATTATAATTATGAAATTTATATATTTGCAGATGTAGTATAGATATATTCAAAAAGAAATTAAGAATAAAAAAAGGCAACTCACGGTCGAACGTCTTTTAACAATTCATACTTGGCCTGTGGCACTGGAATTTGGTTAACCATTGAGCGTATAATGTTCGTCAAGATTGACGCTTGAGGACGCTAGCCTTTGAGAAAGGCTTACACCACTTTTACTATTACGCCCAATGTGATATGATATACTGCATGCATATATATACCTACAAGTATAATTTCAGGGAGAGTAGAATTTTACTTGCGCACTGTTTGAACGAAGAGAAAGCGGGAATATTTAAAATTCCTCTTCTTTCCATCTTAATTTCTATATCATTCTTTTACTAAAATTGCAAGAATGATGCAGTGAATGTTAAAAGGTACAATTCATATTATTGATTATTTATATGAATTTAATACTTTTAAAAAATGATACAAAAACTTTAATCTTTTCTTATTTTTTTTTTTTATTATAGATTTATTGGAAAATTAATCATAAATCATAAATATGCCTACAAGGTATGCATATATATATATATATATGTATGTATATATATGTATATGTATGTATATATATGTATATTTTTCGGGATAAATACATTTCTGTCAGTATATACTTACAGATAAATACAAGTATAATATTCACATATACACATTTACATATATAAAGTAATATAATATTTTTGATACTTTACATTATAATTTTTTAAAATACAATTTATTAAATATTAAAGGATATGTTAAATAAAATATATTTTACATAAAATAATTAAATTTTGCAATTTTAGCAAATACATTATTGGAAAAAGAAAAGAAATTAAAATAATATCATTTCTAGATTTCAACTGAGATTCTTAATACTATCTTAAGCATTGATGATGCATATTACTATTTTTAATAAAATTTAAATCATATTTTTATAATCAATGTAAAATAATTTACAATATATATTATAGTCTACTCATACGAGCAATATAAGAAATGAATAAATTTTTTAAAATTAATTGTTTAATAAAGAATAAAAAATGAAAAAAGCAATTATTATTCTTATTTCTTATTAAGGAGTGTAAAAGACGATATTTAAAATTAGAGGAATTGGAATGCTTTGAAGATTAATATTATAAAAATTCAAAATTTGACATAATTATTACATAAATATACTTAACTTTTTTGTTATATCTAGTAAAAAAAAAACAAATAAATTTCTTATATACTATGACTATTTACTGAGCTCTGCCACTAACTAATGCTTCATCTTCTGGTTTAGGGAAACGTTTATAACGTTCTTGTGACACCAAATAAACTGATAATCCACCAAAAAGAATTAATAGAAGTCCAATCACGTTAATTAATACTGCTTCATCTATAAGCTTTGAATAATTTTTTCTGAAATTGTATATTATATGATAAAAAATAAAATATATATTTAATATATTATTAAACTACAATTTGAAATTGATAAAAATATTAACACAAGGATTAACTTACCCTAAAGCAAAGATTGCTTTTTCATTGAGTCCTAGAAGACAAGAAGCTATCACACCAACAAATCCTGCGATTCCAAAATATACATGAATAGGCATGTAAGAGGCTCGTAATGGGACTTGTAATCCTGGATATAGGAAAGAAAGGAATCCAGCAAGCCACTAAAATATTAATATTCAAACATCTCATTCTACAAATAACATTTTTTCATTGCTATTTTAAAATATTAAAAAAAATATTAAAATACAAATGAAAAAGCAGTAAAAAATTGAAGGCATTTATACCTGGCAGCAAAATAAAATTACACTAGTGAGTCCAATCCAACTATGAAGACTATACATATTTGGAATTGGTTCAGGATTCAAGTTATGACTATCAAATACAGTCACAAGAGAAATTATAACTAATACAACAACTGATAACATTATACCAGCATGAATTAGTTTGAGTCTTCGTTTTCGTGTATTCCTTTGTGTCCTATATATTAACATACCTATAAACATTGGAGATTATAAATTAACGAAGAAAATTAATTAACATAATTTTATTTATATTGTTAAATATACCATTGGCATATAGGAAGACAAATCCAATAACCATTAATAGAGGATGCCAATTGAATTCTAAGCTTGGATTAGAATTCCAAGCAAAACCACCTCTATAATTACCACACCACACTGCAACTAGAATTATTAGTACTGCCCCAATGATTTCCATTAAAATAACCAAAGGTTTAAAACCTTCTACATTTGTAAGTAATTCTCCAACTTGTTCCATGTCTGAAAATAATTTTATAAATACTTAATTCAGTTTTTAAAATATTATAAAATAAATGTTAATTAAATATGATTTCATACATAATCAATAAAATTAATAAGTCAATAAAAAAAAATTTTAATGTAATTAAGTAAAATACCTAAACAAATTTGATATGCGTATTGATAAGTCATTGACATGATGGTGAAACTTTAAATGTCTTTTTTATGTAACCCCTTTTGGATTTTAACAACACTTATTTTTGAAATTATTAATAAACATAGATTTTTCTTCTTTTAATAACATTTTATGGTTATCCTTTATTTAATCTTTGCCATTAATTTAGAAAATTTTCTTATCTTTATTTTATTTTTTAATTTATTTTATCATAAATTTAAAAATGATACAATATTTCAACATAAAAGAAAAATCAACTTTTGTTTAATTGAACCTTATGAATTTATATACAGAAATATATTAGATCTTTATCTATTATAATGTATACATAATAAGATAAAGTTATTGCTTTAACATATGGTAACAATTATTCAACTTCCTTTATGCTTTAAAGATTTAAATATAATTGAAAAAAAATGTATATATGTATAAATATATATATATTTATATATAATGTACAAATATCTATCAAAATAAATGTTACATAATGTCATGCGTGTAAGTTATTTAAACTTTAATGAGTCACAGTATAAACAATATTTTGTTATGCAATTTTTTTTCTTTATATTAGACCATATATTCAATTTTTAAAATTGTTAAATTTACATCTTATAATAATTCTATAAAAGCATCTTATGTGATATTGTTCAAAAATAACTTCCATAAATCAACAAGTTGAAGTTCAACAAGTGTTAAATGTCAATATGACTAATGACATGTTGTACACAGATTAAATTTTCTAAGATATTACGGTCTTTAACACCATTACATTAAACAAATTAAAGTACATATTAACACAATAAAACAAAAAATATATAGTTTTTAATTAATCCTACTATATGAAATTGGTCACTTTACCTGATCAAACCTTTCTATAGGAAGGTTTAGAGAAAAAATCAATAGATACTACGCAGGTTCTCCAACGTCGTAAAATAAATTATCGATTATACCCAATTGTGCAATGTGATATTTAAAGTTATCGCAATTCTAGTCAATATAGCAACTAATTACAGATAAATATTTTGATTTAAAATAATATCAATTAATATGTGCATAATCAGAATATAACTTAAATCTTTATATTAATTTTTATATGAATTAATTTCAAGTAGTTAAAATAATGAAAGTAATTACAATAGAATATATATACATTTATATAAAATCTAATGAATATAAAAATAACTGTTACAAAACAATATGCGTATTAGGAATTAATTCACATTATTAAAAAAAATTTTAAACTATCATTTTTCAAATATGCTTATAATACACTTGTATTATTTTTTACTTATTTTTAAGATAAAATTTATTATAGGAATAACATACGTAACTTTTTTTAAGAAATAAGTTATATTTAAAAATTGTAAAAAACGAGGTTTATATAAATTAATACAATGTTAGTTTGTAATAATTTGATGTTTTAAATTATAAAGTTTAACGTTACTAGTAAGAAGCGCCATCACGAGTATAAAATTAAAGTTTAGAGATAACCTTAACAAATTTTGCTGATAAAAGAAATCACTTATTTTTTATATTATGATATATTATAATTGATATAAACAATTCTTGTTATTGATAAAATACTTCACAATGATTGAGAAACGAAGACATTTTTTAAATTTACTGAAGAACAAAAGTATCACTTTGTTATTTGAAAAATATTTTTCAAACACTGCCACAATTAATATTGATGAAAAGACAACACATTTTGGATTTAAAACTATTAAGGAAAGCGATAAAGTAAAAGAAGGTATGCTTTATAATTTATTCAATTAATTTAAACAATTTTTTCCGTTTTTACCTTGTATATTATAAATTATTTTGTTATCAAAGAAAATATAATTTTTATTAAAAGAAGGCTTATTTTATGAAAGAAACAATCCTAAATTCAGCTTATTAAAGTAATAATTGAAGTTTAGTATTTATATAAATTTTATAATAATTTATTTGATTCTTTTTTACATTAATTTTTTATTTTATACCTTTGTGGTATAAATAATAACAGTTTTTTGATTTTTATTTTTTTATTGAATAAATCCATTTTACAGTATATACAATTTTCGAGAAAGTAGCAAATTCTTATGATCAAATGAATGATGCTATGAGTTTTGGAATTCATCGCATTTGGAAAGATATCTTTATTCAAAGGCTTGGACCAACTCATGGTAGCAAATTATTAGATTCAGCTGGTGGTACTGGAGATATTACATTTAGATATTTAAATTATTTAAAGAATACTTCTAATCATCAAAATGTGAAAAGTTCTGTAACAGTTTGTGATATAAATAATAATATGTTAGAAGTTGGTAAAATTAGGGCTAAGAAATTAGGATGGGTAGATCAAAATAATGTTGATATCGAATGGAAGCAATGTGACGCAGAAGAGCTTCCTTTTGAAAAAGATTCATATACTGCTTATACAATAGCTTTTGGAATTAGAAATGTAACACACATTGACAAGGTAAATCAATCATATAAAGCTTAGATTGAATTGAATCTGAATTTTGATTTAATATTAAATTTAAATTTATTCGTAAATGAAAATAAATTAATTTACATTAATATCATAAAATTTTTAAAAGATTTAATATTTTATTGAAGAAAAATATCTTTTATAGGTACTTTCTGAAGCATACAGAGTACTTACACCAGGTGGTCGGTTCATGTGTTTAGAGTTCAGTCATGTGCATAATGATATTTTAAGATGGTAACTATCTAATCTTAAGATAGAATAAAAATAATATGAAATGCTAGACAATGGATAATTATATTTTACAAAATAAAACTTATAGGTTATATGATCAATATTCATTTCAAATAATACCTGTATTGGGTACACTTATAGCAGGAGAATGGCAACCTTATCAATATCTTGTTGAGAGTATTAGGAAATTCCCAAAACAAGAAGATTTTAAGGTAAATAACATATTATAGTAATGTGATATTTACATTGTTTATGTTAGAAATGTGATTAATTTTTAAATATTATTTTAGGAAATGATTGAAGAAGCAGGCTTTAGAAATGTAGTGTATGAAAATTTGTCATGTGGGATAGTAACTATTCATTCAGGTTTTAAATTATAACTCATCGTTTTTTATTTACATGTAATTAAATAAATTAAACAATAATTTATTTATTATATTTTTTATTGTATAAAAAAATTTAATAAAAGTAGTACTTTGTTATATATTATAAATTGTGATTACAATTTTATTGTTATATTTGTCATATAATATAAATGTGTTATTTCTTTATTTTATATATGGGATAAGTACAAATTTATAGAAACACACTATTAATAGAAAAAAAATGAAGATTTAATTATTAATCTTAAGTAGAAAATTTCTTAGTCTTCTGTCTATTATTTCTTTCTGTTCCTGAGTTAGGTTATTGATTTCAATCACGGTTGGCTTTTTATTTGTATTCAATTCTAAGTTTAGTAGTGCATCCAAAGTTTTTATCTTTTGTTCTGCATTACGAAAGCTCTGAAATATTTATATCATTTTGTTATTTACTTTTTTTATAAAATATAAAATTAAATTAATAAAAATTATAGAAATATTAAAATCTTTAGAAGATTATAAAATAATTTTAAAAAATATTAAATTAAGATACCATCCTAAGTTTATGTTCAATGTCTGGATTTTTCTTCAATTTCTTTTTCAATGAAAATTCTTGTACACTGAAACCTAATAAATCCTCCAAAACCTGGAACCATGAAAGTTTTACATATTTAAAACATATTAAATTGTAAATAAATTATAATTATATACCTTATTTGAGAAAGAAACATTTATTGTTCCAGTACCATCTGCTATTGTAGCTTCCAAAATCCATGATAAATCACTTTTTGTCAATTTTCCAAGAATTTCAACACGACCTCGAACTGTTTTAAAAATAGTTTCTGTTACTACTTCATTATTTATATCATGAATAAATTCACAAATTTTTGGTTCTTCAAAAATATTTACTACTTTTGTAAATTCTGTAATTTTTCTATCCATTTTACTTATTTTCAAAGTTTTTGCTATAGGTGGAGACATTGGAATCTAAAAAGTTATATAATTAAATTTATTTTAAACATAGTAATTTTTTATAATAAAAAATAGTAAATTGTGTTGTTTAACAAAATAAGGAAATTAATATAAAATAAACAAAATTCATTAACTTACACTTCTTTTTTCACCAACTAGTAAAGCCTTTCCTTCTATTTTTGAAGATGAAGTACTAACTGATGAATTTATTTTGGTACTAAATAACTCAGAATTTATATGTGAAGAATCTCTTTTTCCAGCTCTTTTTAAAATATCATATTTTACATCTGTAGTTTCTTCATCTTCATTTATTATAATAATATCATTCTTTTCTGTTGGCAATGTTCTAAAGGGTATTGCAATGTTCTTATGTCCTATTTCTGTTTCTATAAGTTGTTCTTCATCAATCTGTAATAAAATATCTCAATTAAAAAATGACTTATATTTTAAGACATAATTCATATTAATTAATTTTTAATAAGATTAAATATTAAAATAACCATTTCCAAAAAGCAATCGTCATCATCCATGATCAGTTTATCTTCACAATTTGTAATTGTTTTAATTTTTGTATCAGTATTTCTAATTTTTGTCTTAGTTTCTGTTTTAGTTAGATTTTTATTATATTTATTGTCTTTACTATGTGAGTCTTCAATTTTGGAAACATTTTCAAGATTTATTTCAAAGTCATCTTCAAAGAAGTTGGCATCTATTTGTGGTTCTTCTTGTTTAATGTTTTTTGATTTTGTCTCATTATCATTATAGGGATCAGGATTTTCTTTAAGATTCCTGTAAATGATAAATATACATATACTAAAGTATATATCAAGATTTTATAAAACATGATTTAATATTTCATTTGATTTCAACTTTTTTATTTCATGATTTACTTTTGTTTTAGGTTTTTATCACATCTTAATTTTTAGTAGTAACTTGAATTAAACTCACAAAGCTCTAGCTAAAACATTTTCCAAAGCATTAGGAATTAATAACTTATCAACTTCACCACCAATTCCTTTAAGTTTTCCTTCTTCTAATAACAAAACACCTTTACGACATTTCACTGGACCCATTATCATAACTTTATATCCTGGTAATAACATATCCTTGATAAACGGAACATGAAAACATTATATAAATTTTGAAGAGTGCTTTATAATTTATGTTTTTAATATTACAAAAAAATATTATTTTAATTTAATAAAACTTTGATATCAACTTAAATAAGTTGAACAATGAAAATTATACAATATTAACATACATTTAATTGTGAGATGTAACTATATTCAATTCCAATTACATCTTGTACCCCATCTGTTAATCGTAGTTGTATCATTCTTTTTTTGGGTGGTTTCCACTTTTCCATCTTTTCTGTTTCAGATTGTTCTACTTCTGAGATATGAATACTTCTAATTTGTTCTAATTGTTTATATTTTGATGTCGCAATATCATACATTTGTTCTATCTGATTACAAAATAATCATAAGGTTCTTAAAAATTTTAAATGTAGACAAACATATGTATGTATATACCTGAAGAATATAGTTTTCAGATAAAATAACAAATTTTTGCTCCAAAAGATTATGAGGCAAACTTCCATTATTATTATTAATTTCACGCAAATCACTAAGTTGCCATTGTACTTTTACAAATTGTAAAATTTCTTGTGTATGTGGCTAAAAATTAAATTAATTATAATTTCAGTTTTATATTTATAAAATTCAATGTTTATTTTAAATTTAAAACTGTGACAATATTTTTTGTGAGTTATTTGAATATATAAAATAAAAATTTACATTTTCATGTTGATTCACATAAAACTCTACACAATCTCGCAACCATTCGTCATTCATTAAATAACATTCTAATTTTAATTTGCTTTTTATTCGTTTCAGTATATCCTCATTCATTTTTACGACTTCATAATTTAATTTAATATACTAATTTGTGATATAGTATAGTACACTTTTGCTTCTGACTTCCGACTCTTCAATGATTGAATAAGCAAATAGCACAAATTTACCAACTATAAAAGAAATATATTATTTTGGGTCTTAGTTTTTCTTTTATTATTTTATTTTGAGATTCTTATAGTGTGTAATTAATTTTTTTAATTGTTTTAATTTAATCAGGGTGTATACATGTAGATATATAAGTGTACAAATTATGTAACAATTATGGAGAAAATTTTTTAAATTAAGATATTTGTAATGAAAAAATTCTATTCAAAAAATTCCTGCTGTCACCACATAAAAAATAATATAATTTTAATATATTTAAATGTAGATTCAAGTAGACAGATAAGGTTACGTTTTTGATATAGTGACAGTTAATGGTTGCTAAGTGATTATTTAAAATATTTATATGATATTGCGTAGACAATATGGTATATAATTTATTTAGGCAATTTTATGTTAAGAAATATTAAGTGTACAAAAAAGAGTTATTTAACAAAAATTTGATTTGTGTAATAAATAAGATATGTATTAATTATATTGATATTATACCAAATTATATTTTGTTTCTTATATGGTTACGTATTTGATATGTAATTATGAAAAACTTTATAATTTATAAATTCTAACAATGATTAAATTTTTTATGATTTGTAAATAAAAATAGAATTTTTATGTTTACAGAGATTTCATTTACTTAAGTTTATTCTATAGATATATAAATAATAAATTGTTTAATTTAAAGAAAAATATTATTTTATAAATGGGAATTAAGTAATAATTTGTTTTAATAAAATTTCAATGATAATGATCTGTATATTACATTTAATTTTTTATAATATATAAATTAATATCATAATACACAGTTTAAAATTATAATTTTAAAAATTTTTTATTTGTAATAAGATTATTGTAAAATTGTAATATTTTGTATCATCTTTATTCTAAACTTTTGCATATACAAACGAATGTACTTTAAGCAATTCAGTGTAAATATTTTCAGCATTGCCACAGTAACTGTAATTAGTTAAATAAAAATATAGTTTTTATAATTTATGAAACATACGTAACAAATTGAAATAATTTTCAAATGTCTACATATGTTATGTATTCTTTAAGAATACCACTACGCTTGCAACTATTAGTACTATTATGGTTACTGTTAGTTACATTTATTAGTAATTAAGAAAAATTTTGTTTTATTTTACACAAATACCATCGTTATGATTAACACATTGTCATCGCAATTTTATTATTCTACAATGATTTCCATCCCTACATAACCAGTTCACTCAAACCTATTTTTAGTCTTTCAAACATACATTTCTGCTGATAACCCTAGTGGGGGTGAGTTACCCTTAGTGGGGGATTGAATATAGAGGGGGAAGCCAACCGTCAGGGCAACGCATGCTTTCTGATGTTTCAGTAGGCCGCGCGAGCTTGTGCTGTGAATATGTTGTTTTAAGGTGGTTGTTTCTTTTTCTTTCTCTTTTTATGTCATTCGGTCTGTTCTTTTTCTTTCAATATTCTTGTGCGTGATTCGATTCGTGATTGTGGGATATATTGTTACGAATAAATATCTATTGATATACGTGTGCTTGGAAGGTACGTATATACATGTAAAATTGAAAATGTATATATGTGTAATATATGTATATTGTGCACATAGCTACATAATTATAAATTGAAAATCATTATTTAACTGTTGGATATTGTGATATGAAATTTACTAACTAACCTTTAATAAGAAAATTAGAAGTCGTAGTCGACAGGAGAGAAATGTGATAGACTTTTTTTCGCTTTAATTGATATTACAGTGTGTGTTTGCTTATTTGATTAATTTAATACTTTAATAAACGATGGTTTACTTTAATGGAATACAAATATCAAGTAAGTACAAAAATATTTTAAATAGAATCGTTATTGTTTAAATTTATAATTGAAATAAATTTATAAATTATATATAATTAATTGATATAAAACAAAGAAGTAGGATTTGTGGCTTGGATAAAAATTGATTATAGGTATCAATTGATTTATTGCTTAGTTTTATCCTTTTATCCAGAAAAATCGAATCGATTGTTTTTAATTATCGTTTAATTTCTTTCTTTCTATATTTTCTACATGTTTCAATGGAATAATATGTGTATTCGTACCATGTATATATAGAAATATACATGCACCATACACGCGCACACACACACACTCAGGTATATGAAACCTATGTACACATATACAATATGTAGTACAGACAGGGTTTTTACAAGCATGTAACCGCCAAAATTGAAATTATAGATAAGGTTGAAGATCACTTGATTCACAATAATATCATGTGACATATGGTCGTGACTTTTTTTCAGTTATTGATTATTGAATACTTGTGTAACAAACTAAGCGTTTCTGTAATATTGCACCGTTCTCTCTCTGTTATCCTGTTTTTCGTCTCGCTTATATGTATGTACATTTTACGCAAGCTTTCCGTACAGCAATTATGTAAAGAAATAAAAGATACGAACGAGCTCCTTTTTTTCCATTTTTTTTTTTCTCTTCTAATAACTATGAATGAGGGATACGATTTTTCGTGACATTCCCATTGCACGAAATGTCAGAAGATAAGTTTATATCGAACTGCTGAGTCGTGAATTTGATTAACATATTGAATGCACGAAATTCCATTAGCTCTGTTCGAGACGATATCGCATTATTTCTTTGAATCTAAAATCGCGTGTTCCATAAGCGTCATGAAATGGCGCGATATTACTTTTGAAATTATCTTACATATTTATTTACATGTTACACACAGGCTTAGTCATTCACCTATGTGGCGCTGTGCACAAAACGCAATGTGGATTGTACCAAGCTTATGTGGAACGCACATAAAGGGAATAAAATTTATGACGTACATACACGTACATGGTAACACGTTGAAAGACACAGGTAGTTGTTGCCCTAATGGTATTTTAAAATTTCTTCGTCGCTGAAAATCGTTCCTTAAGTGTTCACGCCTGATGTCATTTTAAACTATCGAGAGCATCGTGTCTTGGAAAATTTCAGATTTCGATATTTCGTGCGTTGTAACTGAATATTAACCAAAAAGGAGTGAAATATTTAGAAGAAAATGTACCGTATTCTGACAGAGAAGCATTATACATCTTGAACGTTGTATTTTCCGAAATTCAAAATTTGTATATTTGATACGTTATAAATTGCGCTGACTCTTAACGATATAGAGTGGGATACTTTTAATAAAGTATGTAATATTTTAATGAAAAATCTGTGCCCTCTGAATATACATTGCATTTTCTGAAATTTTAGAATTCGTTGTATTACGAAGTATTTCGACATCGTGCGTATTAGCAAAGTGTAATTAGAGTCTAATAAAAAGTAGAATATGTTTTTAATTATTTTAATGATTGAAGCTCTATTTTTAATTATCTTAGTTTTTTTTGGTAAAATAAGGTATCATGCAACTGTACAAAAGCGTGAAAAAGCGGGTTGAAAAATGTTAAAAAATGTTCCCTCGTAGATCAGTTGGGAGTTGACACAATTTTTTGGTATCTCAAAGTTCGGTAATAATAAAAAGCTACACAGTGACAAGTTTTTACATTTTTATGCACTTCTGATAGAAACTTGTAGAGTAATGCCTTGGGTATTTAAAGGCGTTATTGTCATAATTCGAAATGTTGAAAATATTAATGTATAAATATTGATTAATTTACTTGTTCGCAGAAGAACTAAGCTAAGAAAAGTAAAAGAATTGTAGGCCTCATTTTATTTTAGAAAACCAAGGAACACGCTACCTCGAGCCTGAGGGGATGAGAAAAGAATTTGCTTGGAATCTTGAATAGTTTCCGACGAAATGGCTTATAACGCTTCACGCGACCCATTTTATAGGAGAATGTAGTTTATCAGTACATATAATTATCAATCAATTCAATCTTCTGTATGTCTGAAATATCTAATACACTGCATATATTTAATGCCTCGAATTGTCATCATAATTATTACCACTTAAATCCAAGTTAATTAATTGCTTTATCAGCGAGTTTATCATCGATTAGAACATAAGAAATGATTAAATTTGAATTAGTTTATTTATTTACAGAGCAAGTAATAAAATCCCATGTTTACGATTAAGATTTTTTTCTTTTTTTAATTCTTAATTGCTGGTAGTGATTTCGATCGTGTTAGTTGGAACAGAATGTATCACAGGGAAATGAAATTGCTTAAATTACCAAATGTAGCTCATTACGAGCATTCTAATTGAGAGAACTTTCACGGTCCCTTTTAATTCTTAGTTCACGGTAGTAATTTCATTTAAGTACTTTTATGCGTGTGATTGTATACACATACATGCATGTGTTTGCACTTGTTTCGTGTAAATATGTACGTAAAGTGTGCCTAAATTTATTCATGTATATAAAAAGTATAATTTGATGTATCCTGATTCGTTACGCGAAATGTTGCAATGAACATGTCGATAAACAATCGTGTAATTAATAAGTTGAAGAAAAATATTATATACTCGATAAATGTGTTTTAAAATTTGTTTCACCAACTTCTTAAAGACAAAAATTTCGTTGCTTTTTGTGAAACAATTTAGATAGATTTTCACATAACATAGTAATTATGATAACACCAGAAAAATGGAATTTTTCGTGTTCTTTCTATTGCTTCGATCTATTCTATAGAATTACAGAATAATTTAAAAAGAAATAACTGCAGATCAAATTCCTTGTTAAAGTCCTAATCCGAAAATCGTAATATTTTAAAGTAAAAAGTATCTCTTTCTTTTTACGGTAAAACGATAAGAGTAGTTTAGGGGATTAGTATTTTGTCGGCGTTATGGCAAAAGGCTACGATAATTTGAATTCGTTAGCGTGTCGTCTTTACACGGAATTACTGCTTTTAAACCTTTGAATAATTTTCATCTAATTCAAATATTAATGGTATCGTTAAAAATACGTTTTTTAACGAATATTTAACATTATTGTTATTCGGTATATATAAATTTGCAACTATAGCTGTTCAGAATTATACATTTACCCGCCGTGTTCACGAACTGCTTCAAAATTTATATGCGCTACGACTGTGTCAAGCAATATTTAACGCAGTTTATGTTACGACTAATCTACATTGAAATTTAGAAAGGGCATAAGTGAACGACGATGAAGAAAAGAGACACCTATCATACGGAAATCGAGTGTACGAGAAGAAAATGTTGCGAAAGAAATTAACTTTGCCTTACAAGTGAACTCTAAATTTCTCCGGTGATTTGAATAGTGACGATTGAAATGTGATAAGAAGGAAAAGTAAGAACACAGTCCAAGGAAAGAGTAATATGCACTTGCAAGCATCGTGGAAATGTTCGTCAAAGGAGGTTCCTAAAAAGGAAAAGCTGCAAACGAAGAAGAAATACCTTCTGGAGACGGTCGCCTCCTGAATGATGAAGACAAAAGGCAATTGTGAAACTTGAGGTGAGTTTTTTCAAATATTTCATATATCTTCAACCTAGCGATAGCATAGATTTATTGATACAAATTAAAACTCACATGCAATGGAAAAGCAAGGAACGATGAAGAAATCCTTCGTCTTTGAAATGGAAGAATTCGAAAATTCTTGTACTCACAAAAATTTCCAATACCGGACTTTCCGAATCTTTCAACTCTCAATTTTAATTTTCCCATTTCCAAACCCTTCATTCTTGGAATCGTAGAATTTCAAATTATTTAGATCCGTAATATGTAATTTCGAATTATAAAATGTATTTCGCGCTTCATGATTACGCTTTTGGCAACATTAGAACAATTTCAAACGAACGAGAGAACTATCGGTACTTTGCGAATTACCGTAGCCATTGTGAACGAAAATCGGATTAGAAATTTAAACGAGGGCCAAAACGAGGAGACTTAAGTCACAACCAAGCGTCGTGATATTGAGACCAAGACCGAGACCGAGACCCAGACCGAAATAGGTGTTCCAGCAGAAAACGTTATCAACATCAGAGAGCAGAGAGCCTCGGTGAACCGAGAACGTGTTTCTCTTTAAAAGAAATTAGCAGTGATACCTTTCAGGGCTCTTGGCCTCCTCTCGAGTGCTCTAGAGTGCAGAGTGCAGAGCATGAGGTATTCAGTTCTCGGCGCACTACTGGTATTCTTATTAACGATACACTGGTGTGAACTACGTCTTTGTCATGGTCGAACTATAAAATACGTGGAAGAATTCAATTGCGTAAAAAAGCGATATTTTATTTCACTGGTAATTAAACAATGTATTTTAACACTAAACCGACTACAGTCTAAATAATGTCATTTTTAACATACAACGTAATTGCTTTGCTCACTTGACTTCCCGATTTTTTCTTTTAATTAGTATTATCAATTTTCCAATATCTTCATGTATTCCATTTTCTTTGCAATTTTCTGTCTTCGTTTTTCCATCTATCGGTCATTTGACCGATCTTTGCAGGTTTAGTGTTGTAACTGTCTTTTTTCTTCTTTTTGTCAATTTTTTTTTTTACTTTTGTTGAACTCTGATAAATTTTAGTAGAATTTAGTATTATTTATTTATTTATTTTTTAATTCGTACGAAATTATATGCAAGTTTTTAGCAATTACATGGTCCGTGAAAATTGAAATTCTACGAAATTGAATGAACTGGGAGGTCACATTAAAATCAGCATGAATCATTATAACGATCTGACAATATTCGGTTATTTAATATTGAAAAATTGAATCAATTCTCACATTTGCATGTGATACGAACCGCGAACGATCTAAATACAAATGTAGCGTGACGACGAATTTAAAATACGTAACATTATTAAGATAATGTCACGAGTAAGAGCATATACAAGCACGGTTCGATTTTACAAATTATCGTTTTTTTGTTGAAATTAAATTACCGATTATAACACCGGTGATGTTATAATATTTTTTAAAATTCTAATTCCGTAGAAATTCTCAGTCCATGAAAATTATCAGGAAATAGGATAATGCGGTTATCAAAATATTCAATTATCACCTATTGATCTCGTTATTCAAATCGTTAATAAAATTGTCGTGAATTTATTACAATATATTGGATGGTGTGATTTCATCACGTTACGAATTTCCTTGTAAGAGCATGTCTCGTTCAAATATTTTTTCTATTTATTCTAGCAGATACATTATTTTCGCGAACACATGGAAGAAATATACAATGTACATCAATGTATCAAAATAACAAGTGATACGGTAAGTGTTAAAAGTACAGAAAGGAAGTGCGTACAGCTCGCAAAGAGTGCTCCATAAATATCGGAACCTGTCGATTGGTTATTATCAATTATCCACTCCAGCTCTTCATCAAACAACTATGGGAACCCCCTATCTTTACACCTTTTATCCGTAAACTGCTCGAGTTCTGTTCGTTAAAAAACGTTATCAGTTATCAGCTAGTTGTTATGCACGGAGGATTATAAATGGCAGCTTTTCGAGAATGAAAGAAATAAATTTGTAGAAATTTAGAATTTCGCGAGTCCCGACTAAAAAGTCTTTTCTTAGACAAATACAATTTATCTACATTTTGAAAAATGAAATTACAAAAGATGAAATAGAACTTTCAGTTTCTATCGAACGCGAAATTTCACAGAGCTTAGAGTTTCATGCAATTGATTTCGTAAAAGACAAAATTTCATGAAAGATACGACGTACTTTATAGTTAATTCGTCTAATTAGTTCCTATTTTATATATCAGGCGATCAAGTTCGGTGTGCAGTTACACGTAACCTTGTCCTTCCGCAACCTTGTCGAGTTTAACGAACACAAACAAGCTAAATGTTATTTGCATAGACGAGATTTCCCCGGGACGATTTTAGTTTTAAAGAGATTTCCGCGATTATCATTAATTTTTTATCATTAATTATCATTAAATTTCCACGATCATGATTTCTCCGACCAAATGTAATTTCCAACGATTAATCCCGATCTTTCGAAATTACAGTGATTTCTAGCGGAAAAGAATTTTGAAATTCCCGATATCCAATCGGGATTACGATTCACGTGTTTCTACAGGTCTATAAATAACGAGTTTTTTTGGAATCTCGCGATTATCATTCGCTTGTGTTATTTTACGATCGATAACATTGTTTCGACGTGTTTTAATGGATATGTTGAAAACGTTTATTTACGCGTTTGTTCGAGAGGGTAGGTGATATCGGGTATAGTAAGGATGAACTCGCGGCCGTGGGTAAGACGGAGATGACCACTAGATCCGTGCCTCGTCCTGAAGACGAAGACGAGGAGGACGAGGAAGACGAGGAAGAAGAAGAGGAGGAGGAGGAGGAGGAAGTCGACAAGGAGGCTCGTTCGAGTCTACGATATCACTGCCACTGATATCCACTCTCTCGTCGCATCGATGCCGATCCCTGCGTCCATTGATAGAGGTAAATTTTCCCATCAATCGTCATCTTATGATTTTCTACGAGCGGCACTGAAAATTTTATACTTTCTTTCTACTTTCCATTTCTTTTGTACACAGGAAGTTCAACCTAAACTATCTAAATTGTCAACGGACACTACTTCGAATATTTATTACATACACCTTGCGTTAAACACCCTAATTTTAATAACGTAACGTTTTAATAATTTATTATCGTAGGGTATTGTCGGAATATTGAGAAAAACAATGACTGAATTAAATGAAGAAATATAAACGTCTTCTCTGCAGTCAATACGTGATTGCACTTATCAGGTCAATAATTTTTGCTCCTAGTTTTCTTTTGATTCACTTCGCACGCATTTCCTTTGATTTTTATTCTATTGTTTCATTCTTTCTCTTTCTTTTTTCATCTTTCTCGTTCATTCTTTCTCTGCTGACTTAAGCATTATTTCAAACTCACGCCGTCATGTATCCCTCACGACTGTTTATGCTCACTTACTCATGTTTTTTAAACCTAACAACTAAGGTTACACACGCTTAGAAATGGAGAATGTGAACTAATCTAAACAGATTACCCTTTTGGTAACGTGACGTAGTTGTAGAACTACGCTTAGGCTACCCTCTATAATGTATATATCCAAGAGACAGATTAAAGTGAAATTTAGTTACGTAGATAACACTTTAAAACGAATGCTTGGTTGATTAATGGGAAATTAAAATTCACGTTGAATGTATATAAGTGGTATGAAAAATAACGCTTTGCGTACAGACATAGAGATTCTTTTTGCACGATAAAATCGGCCAAGTGAATCTTGACCTAATCGAATTGTTTACGCTCGAGGCCTTGATGCTCGCCAGACCACCAAAGAAATTTCGGAAATGTGCCGTGGAATATATGCTCCCGTTACGAAACTTGTTTTCTTGCAACATTACCCGTTTTTCTGCGCCGCTTTCATCGCGGGAATTATTTTTCACGGGAAAATTCTTCCAATTTTCTGACATATTTATCGAGACAAATATGTATATATTTTTGTTTCAGGGAACGAATTAAAAGTAATCGGAAATCACAGTGGAAAGATGAACTAAAGTTTCTTTTTCGTTACGATATCTAGGAGAAATCGTTATAGTGGTAGCAACACGTTATTCTATCAATGAATAAGATTTATGCGAATGTATGGAATTAAATTCTACAGGACCAGGTCGATCTGTATGATTAAATTAATCTCGTATAATTTAATTATTGGTTTAATGAAATATCGAATTCGTTGTTATATTTTCGTCTGGAAAAACGCGATTAAAATAATAGCTCGAAGAATCGAACGTTCGGCTAATCGAACTTCTACGACTACATTGAGGTGAATGCGAGTCGAAGGCCGCAGTCTAAATTCGTCTCGTTGAATTTCAGCTCTTATTCCTCTCATGGATTCTACACGTGACCTTGGATCATTGACATTACAAATGATCCCCTATCTAAGGCATACTTCTCTTCTATGATTTTCCAATCTACCGATCCTCGCGATTTCGAAATATTTCGTATTTCCAAAGCAACTCGTCCTTTCGAAGAATTTCGGTTCGAATGTAATTAATCAGGATGATGTTACGTGAAATCTCGCCGCGATTCCTCTTTGGTAGCTTTCGAGAGAAAGGATGAAACGCAGAAGAATTAACTGTGATTCGTTGAAGCTTCATGGAGAAGGGAAATCATATTTTCCGGAGAACTTATTTCGAGCGTTTACCTTCGCGAAAACAAAATTCTGTACTCGAGACGTTCCGACAGAAACTCTAAGAAAACAGCAGCACGATACATCCTGTAGAATGTGCAAACTATCAAAGTACCTTTCTATCGTTTTCTTCTTCTTTCTTTTTTCTTCCTCATTCTCTTTCTTCGAAGCAAGTTCAGCCTGACTATTATTCTCGAGGAATCTTTTAAAACACGCCAGGTCAAGTTTCGTGTCAAAATAATTCGTTTTCTTTTTTTTTTTCTATAAACGATTTTGCTAAAACATGACACTGCGGTCTTAACACGAACCTTGAGCTACTTTAAGTCGACACCAAGCTCAATTTGGCTATCCCTGGAGTAAGAAAAAATGCAGGAAGCATTGAAACTCTTCCGCAAAAGGAGTCCCTCCATAGGTCGACCTATATTGGGCTTGACCTTTGTCCTACCGCATACTGAACATTCTTTTTTCTCTATCCAACTTGATTTTTCCCGATAGGGATCTACCGAACGTCGATTTTCCAATTATGATTTAATTAATGCGCATTCCTGTCCGAAAAGCAATTGTCTTTAACATCGTAGCTCGATAGCATGTAATGGTATTTTATCAAGGCTCCTATCGATGAAATACGATAAATTAATTAGTCTTTACGATACATCGGATTTCATGAAATTAAGGATACACCAAATTTTAATCCAATTTCCAAAATGTCGAAAAAGGAAACGTTATAAATCGAAACAATAAATTGAAATCGTTAAACGATACTAATTAGAATTACTGACCTATTGATGGATTGAATTTGGTTTAACGACGAACGCGGCTGATTGCAGCTGATTATTTTGATGACCCGAGGTGCACAATGGTCCTCGTAGCAAACGAATGGACACGTTTTTTAATAGGTCAAGTGTGAACTGCTAATTACACTGGATTCCATCCTCTACGAGCCTCTACGTCTTTACTAGATATGCTGCTATCAAACGTATTATAGAATTCCCTTCTTCTACGATATTTGCGAAATAATCATTGAAGGATGAAAGGTGCAACATTTCAACTTGTTCTATTATCACAATTTTTCATTTATGTGGCTATTAAATCAAATAAAAACTTGACGTATTATCACAGCGATGTATGTAAAAATATTAAATAAGAAAACTACATTTATGCAATTCGTGGATTAAGAATTCGTTTAAGCAACTAATCTACATCGAAGAACCAGGAAGATTGACGATTCTCATTAGCAATATCTTCACAGGTATTAAAGTAATCACTCTTTGAATCACTAGTAATCATCCCTCGGATCAACTGGTAATCTTTCCTATTTATCCCTGCAGTAGCATCATTGTGCATTAAAACTAATCCAAAATTAACACTCGGATAACACCTAGTACTTGTGCTCCAGGATCCATGCACATTGGTACAGAACGAAGCACTAGGAAGCGGATTAAGAAGAAACGAAGAAAAAGACGATCAAACGATCGCCTTGTTCTAATCGCACCTTCGGTGTCTAGAATACAAGGAGCGCGGCAAGGCAGATGGTTAATTTCGATAAGACGGTGAGCTTATTATCGAGTGGGTGGAGAACGGAAGGCAGCCGATGTAAGCACGTATCGTAGCTTTTGTGGCTGGCAGAATGGATTCCATAATGAGATGCCGTGTAAACTGGGACATCTAATTATACTCGAGTGCACACCACTCCAGAAACGTTCGGTCGTCCCTGGAGCTCGTGCCTGGCTCCTGTCGAAACGATAACGAATATTCAAGGATCACCCAACAACGAGGCTTTACAATACTTGACGATCGTAATTTACTGGATCCTATGACTGGTAGCAATGGCTTCGATTACATTGCACGACTCGCATCACCAGATAATCATATTGGCAAATGAAAGTCTGTAACGTGCGATTTCAATTTACGTTCGTCCTTTCGATCCGTCGAGGTTTCTCATCAACGAGAAAAAGGGGCCATTCGGTTACATGGGATCTCCATTCGGTTTCGCTTACTTACTAGAGGTTGAAGGATGGCTGTATTTCATAACATGGAAAAGTAGGTGAACTCGTGATGCTGGTTACGAAGACTTCATAACTCTTGATAATATATGGATAAGAATTGTCCGATCTTGACGTAGCTGGGTAGAAACTGTACAACTCGAGATATTAGGACAGCGAGAATGCGAGAATTCTGTTACGTCGGTATTAGAAACTAGGATATCATCTATTTATTACAAAGAGCGAAATTCTTCGGGAATTAGATTTTTAATTGTAATGAAATTTCTGAAAAGGAGGGTAAATGTTCGACATTGACCCTTTTAGCTCGGTGCCTAGGAAAAACTACTGACCCAACTAGCCAGCAGTTTCTCTCAATTGTGGAAGATTGGAAACGTTCCTGAAATATCAGTTATCGAGCATTTGAAATGTAAAAAAGAAAGGATGAGGTTGGAGAGTAGCGATGAAAGCAAGGGAGAGGGTGAATGATACCGAGAAGGATGCAATCACCAGAAGAACAATCAGTCCTAAGTATGAGCTTTTCAAGCACCATCGGTATATCTCTCTCAACCATAACGACTCCTATTTTCTTCCGTCTCTCATTCGCTCGTTACTCTTCACCGTTTTATACTAATTCACGAATTCACGATCATTCGGTTCCAAACACTTCTTTCGATGTGGAACGAATATTTTTAGGATACATAAAAATAAAACAGAAAACGATGTTTATTATTGGAATATTAATTTCTTCTCGTATCTAGAAGAATAAAAGTCATGTTATTAATCATTCACATCTTCGCTAGTCGAAGCACAAATATATTACCGCTAATGGATTAAAAATCGTCAAAAGAAGACATCGACATAATCTTCCACGCAATTTTTTAAAGGAACTCACGAATGATTGTTCTCGTTACACCCTATGACGCTCTACTGATAAGGTCTCGTACTAATCAGGAGAAACCCCAGTCAGCGACAGTCCATTAAGTAATTAGATCCGATCAGACATACCTTCATCCTAATTATTACGTGCGATGTCCATGTAACTAGAATTAATGTGTTTCATAGTAAATCTTCTCTATACAGTGGACGTAGACACGAGGAGCTACGAGAGTGTCTAAAAAAGTCGAACCTCCAGCAGACTTTAACTAAAACCGCATCACGAATTCTTTTTATATACACTGAAAAGCAGGGGTAGAACATTGTACTATCAAAACAGTGACAAGAAAAGGCAGAAGCAACAGTGAGCCGGCCGTGAGCTTTGACCTGGTGACCCGTAGTGCGTGGGCTGGAAAGAGGGCACGGAG